GCTGAATGAACCTTTGTAGTTACGGTGCTATCATTCTTCTTTCTGTTTTTGAGAACCAACCTAATAGATTTAACTACACAAACAACGATAAATATTGTGCATACACTAATTATTTGTTTTCGACCCAAAAAAAAAAAAAACTAATAATTATTTGTAACACATAGAAATTCGTATAAACAAATATTTATAAGTTGTGGTGCTTTGTTTTTTTTAATTAATCACAGTTTTTGATAGAGGGGAAATCGAGCAAGTGATACCGCCGGTGAAAATTGGCGACGGCGAAGGCACAACGCACGAAAACACGACGAATGCCTTAAAGCGAGGAATTGCTTTCTTCTCGGCTTTGCAAGCCTCCGATGGCCACTGGCCGGGAGAGATAACCGGACCTCTCTTCTTCCTTCCTCCATTGGTAAGTCTCTCTTCTTCGATTCTATCAATGAATATCATTAGGGTTAGAATTAGGGCTTTTAGGGTTTCTTTTGCGGAGAAAGTAAGCTTGTTTTCCTGGAAAAAATGAATCCTGCAGGTATTTTGTTTGCACATCACAGGACACTTAGAAGATGTATTCAATGCAGAGCATCGTAAAGAGATACTTCGATATATCTATTGTCACCAGGTAATTTACTTTGAGCTGAAAAACTCGAACAACTAGAAACGCCTCGACTAGTGATCATCATAGAAATTTCTGTATTTTGTATCCTTTAAATTTGCAGAACGAAGATGGTGGATGGGGATTACACATTGAGAGTAAAAGCGTTATGTTTAGCACCGCGTTGAATTACATATGCTTGCGTATTCTTGGAGTAGGTAGTGATGGAGGACGAGGAAACGCATGTAAACTAGCCAGACAATGGATTCTTAACCATGGTGGTGTTACTTATATTCCTTCTTGGGGAAAAATTTGGCTCTCGGTAAACATCTTTTTTGGATAATATATTTGTTAATTTAGATGAAAGACGTTGTTGAAAGTTTGAGCACAATTACCATCAACGTTCCTTTTATATATATGCAGATACTCGGAATCTATGATTGGTCTGGAACCAACCCGATGCCTCCGGAGATCTGGTTGCTACCGTCTTTCCTTCCAAAACACCTAGGTTTGTTATTTTTCCTATGTACTTATGTTTTGTAGATTTTTGCATGAAAATGTTCTGCCGTAACACGAAAAGGAAAAACAAAATAATGTAGGAAAAACTTTGTGCTATACCCGGATGGTTTATATGCCAATGTCTTATCTATATGGGAAGAGATTTGTTGGTACAATAACACCTCTTATTCTGCAACTGCGTGAAGAACTCCATGTACAACCTTACGAAGAAATCAACTGGAAGAAAGCACGGCGTTTATACGCAAAGGTATGGTTTACCATTTTTTTTTTTTTTTGGTTTACCATTTTTAAAACCTTCGAGTTTCTCTATCATTGAAAAATTCTGAAAAAAAAAACATTTTTTATTAACCCTTGCAGGAAGACACATATTATGCTCATCCCCTGGTTCAAGATTTGATATGGGACACTCTTAACATGTTTGTGGAGCCTTTTCTTACAAGTTGGCCGTTAAACAAGCTTGTAAGGGAAAACGCTCTTCGTGTGGCAATGAAACACATACATTACGAGGACGAAAGTAGCCATTATATCACCATTGGATGTATTGAGAAGGTAATACATTGAGAAAACCTTCTAAAAATTTTGAGTTCATTCTCGGAAAAATGCTTACATATTGAAAACTTTATGCAGGTTTTGTGCATGCTTGCTTGCTGGATTGAAAATCCGGATGGAGATCACTTTAAAAAACATCTCTCTAGAATTTCAGATTATATATGGGTAGCTGAAGATGGACTGAAAATTCAGGTTCTAATAGATTTTAAATAAGTTATTTAAGTATGCTCTGATATGGAGCTATCCTATACTAGACTTCATGAAGCACTACTTACTTTCACATATAACTAATGTGGAATATTTCTAATTTACACAGTGCTTTGGAAGTCAACTTTGGGAGACAGGGTTTGCAATTCAGGCTTTAATTTCCAGTGATCTTTGCGATGAAACCAATGAGGTGCTCAAGCGAGGACACGATTACATAAAGAAATCTCAGGTTTAATATCCTTGCGTTTATAATAGTCTTGTATATGCGCGGAACAATTGAATGTTTCTTAATCAAAGAACTTTGTAGGTTAGAGAAAACCCTTCAGATGACTTCAAGAGCATGTATCGCCACATTTCTAAAGGAGCATGGACCTTTTCTGATCGAGATCATGGATGGCAAGTTTCAGATTGTACAGCTGAAGCTCTTAAGGAACCAACCAAATTACTTGTTAGAGCGGAAGAGTTTTTCACAAGATTCAGTTTAACATGTATA